AACTAGAGTTCTTGGCTGGATTAGGGCTCAGGCCGTGACCTCCTTTGGAGCTGCTCTCAACCAACGACAGGAATTTGTTTAATTTTCATCCCCTCCTCAGCTTGGTTTCCCTCATTTTATGACTTGACAAAATGACCAGCTCTACCCACGGAAGGTAGATGGTTAAGTTAACAGGGTGTTACAAGAACCCTCTGTCCCAAGATGCTGTCTTATTGCACCAGTTTCCCAGTGCTCAGAGGCAGAGTTAAGGCAGGGAGGATGCACCTGACAGCACCAGGCACGTGAGGTGAGCTCCTGCAGTTCTGTTCACATCCCTCCTGCAGCTGGAGCAAAGCACCACCTCGCTAGAGGGGGGCTGGCTGCCTTGGCCCCGTCATCCCAACCGTACGCAGGAAGGACAGCGGGCCCCGTTTGGCTTCTGTTCAAATCCACTGAGTAGGTCAAGTTTAGAAGAGAAGAATCAAAGCCAAGGCAGGTTGGTTTGACCTGACACCTTGCTGAGTTCCTACCTGCAAACTCCACATGAAGCAATTCCCTCCTTTTTTTCTTTTTTAGAAGGCTGTTGTCAGCAGTAGAGATGACAGCTCTTTCTCAAACCAGGTTGCACTGAGGGAGATCTTTCCTCTTATGCTGTTTCTCCTGTACCTTTTTATGGGGCTAGCTCTGATTGTAAGAACCAAAGGAGTTTCTCTCCCCTGTAAAAATGCTAAACCAAATGTTTAATTCCTTGTAGTGAAGTGACTGCAGGTAAGAGCCCATCACTGTCCTCAGCAGTGGCTTTCTTAGGGCTGGCTACTGCGTAATGAGCTGTTACTGCACAGCAGAATTGTTCCTTGCAAGAGGACTTGGCTGTTTACAGAGTGACTTCACTTCCTTTGGCTGTCAGCTTAGGGCAGCAGATAGCAGGGCCTCTTCTCAGAGCCTGTTCTTCAGAAATAGCCCAGAATAGGATCCAACCGTCACCAACGCTGCCCTGGCACACGGTGCGGCCTCTTTGTTTGGGTGACAAATACCGCTGTGGACTTGGACTGTGTAGGCAGCCGGGCTCTGGGGCCTTTTTTTTTTTTTTTTCTTCCTCTTGTTCAATGCCGAGAGCAAAATAATTCACAAAGTCAGAATGGGGCCTGGGGAAAACCAGTCCCTCGACCTGCCTCTGACACAAAGGAACAGAAAAACCTGAAGCAATTTTTTGTCTCTTTCCAATCAATGTGCAGAATCTGTGCCTGGTATGGAACAGTAAATATTTATGTAGATAGAGAGAGGGCGATTCCTACCAAGTAGCACCAGATGTCACTTGTATAAAGTCCAGTAGGAAAAAGCCATGCAGCTGGTGTTTAAGTGAAGATGCTGCAGAAGGCAGCGTGATTTTTTACTGCTACTCCCATCTCGTTTCAAGGTGCCTTCAACTTCACCGAAATGCCCTACATGCAATGTAAGTACTGTGTCCAAGATCAGCTTGTTAATAGATGTTGAATTTGTTTTGATGCCTTCATAAATTATTGTATTATTACTGAAAAACATGTATTGGAGGTGGTTTTTTAACCTCTTTCCAGAGTTATCAGCTAACAGCCCCAGAATAGGTCACCTCAACAGCCACTACTCCAAGAAACTGCCCTCGTGAGGCACGACAGAAGTGTGCCTCTCCCAGGAAAGGAGCGGGGCTATCGTGAAATAAGACTATGGCTGGGACTGGGAAAAAAAAACCCAAGCAGAAGTAAATCCCCCACCCCCTTCCCCTCCGTTGTGCCCCT